AGATGGGGCCTCACTAGGGCTGAGTAGAGGGGAAGGAGAACCTCCCTCGACCTGCTGGCCACACTCCTCTTAATTGGAGCAACCCCCAACCCCCACGACACCCACAGAGATACACCCTGCCCTGACACTGCCCAGGGGACACCCCCTGCACACACCCTCATCACCACAGGCACAGGCGCACAGAGCAGCACTGGGCGCACACACACACTGTCCTGCCAACGACAGCAGCGGTGGGATGTCACCACATGCCTGGACACTGACCACGAAGCCAGCACAGCAGCGGTGGTGCGGTCCTCAACTGGCGTGCCCAGCCCTCGTGCACGGACAGCGGTTGTGCCCGCGGGTAGGTGTGAACACACTGCGCACTGACACGCGTCGTACCCCCGTCCTTGCTTTGCTCGGAGCGGGGCAAGTCTCTCCGAGTAGGTACATGTCCACTCTCTGCTTGGCAGCTCTATGAGCATCGTCGTTACCACAACGTGGAGCTCCTGGCTTTGGTATCACACTACTTTGTCCTCTGTCTTAATTTCAGCACCAGGTTTAGCCCTGACTTTATAGCGCAAAGACTCAAGGATGAGCAGCGAGATTTTACAGCAGGTAACACAGAGCTTCTTCCCCGTGCACAGTACGGACAGCTTTGCTGGACATGAAGAAATCGATTCTTTTAGAGGCAGCCTGGTCCAGCCTCCCAGCACAGAGTTTGGAAGCTGGTGTTCGAGCAGCAAGGTCTGGGCATCCTTAAGAAGTGCCAAGCTACCTGATCGCCAGCTCAGCTCACTCCCAGAGTCTGGGCAGACAAAGCACGTTTCACGTTCAAGGTTAAAGACTTGAACTTATTCTTTATGCTCAGCTGAAGCTTATTCTAGCAGTGATAGTGACAGGCAGTGTTTTCTGTAAAGTTTTCCTATTCTAGGAACATCACCAGACACTTTATCTAGGTAAAAAATACAGATTTTATCAGGATTTGGATTTCTGGCGCTTGTGACGTTTGTAGCTGTGTTTTATAGGTAACATGCAAGAATAAATATACCCTGAACTTCCTCATAAAGTTTGCATTACCGCAGTGCTGCTGCGGCCCGGCCTTCCTTCCTTGTAAAAGGCATTCCTTCCTTGTGTTTCAAAACGCCAAGTGAATGGGTTTGCCAAAGTGCAAAGTTTTGAACCGCAGCACCTGTGCCGCCTGGCACCAGACCGCAGCACGGAGCGCTGCTCAGCCTTCGCTTGCTTTGCTTAAGGACTGATCAAAAGATTTCCATCAAACAATACTTCTATGCAAGCCACCCCCTACTCCTCAAGATTTGGGAGGAATGCTTTTCACAAAACAAGCAAATGAGTTGTCAAAAAAACTGAGCTTGAATTTAAATACTTTGGCCTGAAAACCTAGCTGCTTCATTTGTAGACCTTGAAATCTTCTGCGCAAGGTGCCTATCTCTGGATTTTTTCCATATAAGGCTGATTTTCCTTTTCCACCAACGAGTTTTATTTTTCTCATGCTTTGCCAGACCACACCCTCACCCTCAAGTTTTGACTGTCTTTTTCCTCAAAGCAAGCCGTGACCATCACAGCTCGGATGTAATCCAGCCTAGAGGCCACCCCATCTCCCTGTTCAACTGGATTGCTGGGCAGGACAAGCACAACCCCAAATCTCCTTTCTTGCCTCCAAGAGAGCTGAGGAGAGGGGAGAATGAGTCCCTGGGATTTTCTGATGCCTACTTGCCCTAGCTATGGCTTTCTGGTGGTGAAGGCTGTCATCAGGCTGTTGACTTTTGAGAACTAAGGCGTGTTACAGCAATTCTCATCAAGTACAGCACTTGATTATGCCAGAAAATGCTGGTGCTGGATAAAAGACAGGTTATGGAATTGCTGCCTGCATTCACTGTGTCTCCGTTCGGAAGACCCTCCTGGCATTATGGAGTCCCAACAGCGATACTGGCATTACCAGCTCTGGGGAAGCCCAGTTACCGTGATCTGCCAATGCCACCTCTCTATGGCAGCTCCCAAAGGCTTGTGGCCACCAGGGCAGAAGAAGTCATTCCCTGCTGCAGCCAAGTCTCTTGGCGTGGCCTCCCGGTCCAGCCAGGCAACCTCACTGCCCTGCATAAGATTTTGGCAGCTAACAGGATCACTCGCTGCATAGCTGCAGCCCTTGGCATATGTTAAGGGTCCTCCGTGCTGATATCGTGGCAGCCACCAATGAACCATGCCTATAGCGGTTTGAGTAGGGGGTGAGTTTGGCTGTGGATATCTGTTTGTAAATATCTGCGGATATCTGTCACAAAAAAAAAAAAATCAAAACTAAAACCAAAAAAATCAACCTCCCACTTCTTTCTACTCCTAGTGTTACTGCTACCAGCAGTTATTTATTTGCCTTATCTTTGATGCCTGCCAACATATACAAGACTTACTCAACGCTGTGTGCAAGCCCTATGAGTGCCAGCACTGTGCTGAGCACAGGCAGAGGTGTCGGCAGGATGGGACCTTCAACTGGAAGCTCTCGGGCACAGGATTTTCAGCCCTGACGGGCTGAAGAACACATGACATCCTAGCAAGCCTGCCTGACTTTCCCACATCCATCTCTGGCCCGCTGGAGACGGTTTGAAGCCTCAGCTTCCAGTTGAAGCCTTCCTGGTTAGAGCTGGTTCCACAACCAGCAGGCGAATCCCAGCTACAACCTCCACGCCATGGTAGCTCTCCATGGGCTCATTCTGCATTTACCCCACAAATCAGCTTGCACTCTCTCCGGTGGACAGCATGGAGAGCACCAGTCCTGTGACACCGGGGAGAAAGAGAATTATCAGGGGATTTCTGCTTGTGCCCCTCTCGGGCACAGCTACTCTACCGGCACACGCACCGATGCTCTCTGACCGCTTTGCTTCACCTTTCTATCTCTTCTGTCAAAGCAGATGTTTCACATGAGTTATGTTTCCCAGTTGCTCATCCCCCTATTTTTCCCTTAATGGCCTAAGAAGGAGAGTAAGAAGATGGTGAAATCCATGACTGCCACTTGCCTGTCGCTGTTCTGCTCCTAACCATACTTTCCAATGGTCTTGCCACAAGGCGTGCACACAGCTGATATCTGGCCCCACAAAGAAAGGCAGGACCAGGCAAAAACATTGTTATAGAGCCATGTAGACACCGGTCTGCATTGGAAATCTTCCCAAGTCACAATAAATACAGATTTTAATAAAATCTTTTGATCGTTTTCAGCTACATTTGGACCTGCAGATGAAACTGGAGATGTTCCCAGGTGGTCGTTCCAGCGGGTTTGTGGGCCCATTCAGCTCCATCTGCAGAGAAGAAGGCTTAGAGGGAGTTATAGAGCAGGGATGAAATAAAGCTAAAATGCAGTTGTTCAGGTACCACTTTAACTCAGCGGTGCAGATCAGCACAGACTTCAGGTCCAAAGCAACAGGAACTACAGCAGGCTCGAAGGAGCAGAGGACTTGAGCTAATTGGGGACGTGAATCTTTGCCAGATATTCTCACATCTAGCCACACCTGAAATAAAGGTCTAAACAGTGTGAAAAATAAAGATTCTCTGCACTCCCACTTATGAATGTGCAATAAATTCACAGTAAGTGACAAAGGAGAAAAACAACACTTAGAAATATCCAAATAACTATACTGCTTTTAGACAGATGTAAAGAGGCTAAAAAACATCGCTAACATTATAGCACCACCTTGCAAACATTTTCCTCGTGAGATTGCACATAGTTCCCTTACACTGGCTGCAAGGTTTGCATGTGCTGCACACAGTATAAACAACACCTAAAAGTGTTAAAAAACTCATGAACAAAAATGCCTTTTCTCCCCCAGGAATGTTTCGAGAAGCATGATTCAAACTCACGATAAGGCTGCTGGAGACCCACTGCCCAGCTGAGCACAGGGGCAGACACAGCGCACGGTGCCTGCCCAGATGCAGCACGCAGCGCCAGACCAAGGCGCAGAGCCCAGCCCGGCACCAAGAAGCAGGAGAGCAGGCGTCTGCCATGCGAGGTCTGGCTGCAGTGCATGGCATGGGCACGGCTGCCGCGTGCAGGGGCCTCTGGTGCTCCTCCAGGCTGCCTGTCCGGCATCCATGGACGGCGTGTCATGTTTGGCATCAGAGAGACGATGCCTTGGTGCCACTGCTCAGAGCCTGGCACTTAGTGCAGAGCTGGCTTCCTTCTCCTCTGGAGACTCCTTGCCACCATTAGTACGGTACAGCACTGGGGCAGCCAGTAGCAAATGAGATCACTGCTTTTTCTGGGTATCCTTCCCTGCTAGTGTCCATACTCTCCATCGCACTTGTGGTTATCCTGACCAGGCCATCAGTTGTCTCATCTTCACGAGTTTCCTGCTCAAGGCTGGACTTCAAACCAAAGAGATTCAGTGCTGTTGTTCGTACCGATTAACACTGAACTCTCCCTGACCCCTCTCCTGCACCAGCACAGTCTGCACTGGTTTCGCTCTGTGCTTTTTTCTAGAAAGTCCTTGCTGATGAACCTCCCCACCATGCTGGCAGCACTTGGGGCTGCCCATGCTGAGGGGGAACTAAAGGCTTCAGCACCAAGCTCTTCTGTTCCCTCCAGCTTGGTACTGATGCTCTGGGCTGTGTCCACATGTGGCAGAGGCCCACTCATGGGCAGACAGTTGCCTGGGGGAAACAACTGAGGAAGTCAGGGAAGCCTCTAACTCTCGCTTGACTTCCACTTCAGCTCGTCAGTTGGTATTACCTTCTCCTTTCAGTAAAGGTCAGAGACACAAGTTGCGACATAACTGTGATTGATTGCATGAAAAACTGCTTTCCCAGGAAAAGGGTTGAGGGACCCAGAGAGGCTGTGGTCTCTCCATTCCTGGAGATCTTCCAAACCAGACTGGCCAAGTCCCTGTTCTAATGGTGAAGTCAGCCATGTGAGCAAGGCAAAGCTTTCCCCAGCCAGGGCCCAGTGCCACAGTACCCCAGCAAGGTGGACGCAGCGGTGGTAGCCAGGTTCAACCAAGATCTCAAGTCATCAGGCAAGTTTGTGGTGATGAGGCAGGTATGGGGTCAAGCCAGCCACCAATCTACAGACCAGGATCAGGTCCAGTGATGGTAGCCTGGTTCAGACACTGTCCAGCGATTCCTGGGCAGGCCCATACTGACAAGACAGCTTCAAGCTCCAGCCAGACAGTCCATCCACAGATCAGGGTCCATGGACAGGTACAGCTATGGATGAGCTGGAGATCAGCACAGCATTGCTCAGGCAGGGACTGAAGACTAAGCTGAAGTGGAGCTCAAGGGCCCACGGGCAGGGGGTGGGGAGAACCCCTGGTGAGGCTGGTTAAGGGCCATTGAGGCTTATTAGTGCATTCAGGACTGTGACAGTCTCTTCCAATCCAACTCTGCTGCTGGGTCTGTGCTTGGTGCTCCACCAGCCCTCTGACAAAGGGGTCTGGAGGGTACCAAGAAGCATGTGAAAGGGCCTTTTCTGGGGAAGACAGCT